TTCAGTGAAGTAGAACGAGTGGGAATAGAGCAGCCCACATCTTGGGATAGAGTAGAATTTGGAAAATATCATTTGCTGTTCAGCTCCCCAATCCCAGTCCTTTCTACTCCACTTTCAGGCAATCTTCCCCTTTCCACTCCCATGCACACCCTTACATCCACTTCATCCTCCATCTGTAAGGCAGCCTAGTTTATTCTATCTGGTCTATTCAGGGTACTTGAAAGTGACTGCTCTTGTATTTCCACCTCACTGTTCTCATTCTCATAAGGCCAGTTTCCTAGGACTGAATTCTATTGGTCCTCTGCCATTTCTCAAACTTTACATTAATGTAGCCCAGGCTGATATCCTCTCTAACTTTGCTCACCATTCCTGTATCTCTCATCCTTACTGTTATCCTGGGCTGGGTTTCCCTTTTGGCAGGACACTGACCCCATAGTTCCTGCTGCTCAACATTTTACTCCAATTTCTCTAGACTGTAAACTTCAAAGCTTCTGTTTATCTCTATGTTCTCAGTGTCCAACAAATACAGGCGGTTGATAATTATTTATTGAATGAAAGAGTACATATTCCTTTTGCATTCTTGTTGCTTACTGATCTCTCCATGGGTATAACAAGATCAAAGAATTGAAATAATAATCCATTATTCAAAATAAGTTAGGTTAGGCTTTAGTAACTTTAAAATTCCTGTTGTTTATGACAACAAAGATTGTACAAAACATGTCCAACATGATTCGGTGGGATTCTGGTCCTCACAGTCACTCAAGGGTTCAGAGTAATGGAGTTGAACCATCTTGTTAGGCAGCCATCTCCTCGTGAGCTCAGAGTTCATAAAGAGGAAAAGAACATAGAGAATTGTACATTGGCTCTTAAATGCACAATCAGAACATCTGCCAACATTTTCTCATAGGGCCAATCTCAAGAGTGTAATCTCAATTACACTCTTGAGATTACACTTCAAGAGTGTAATCTCTCTAGAAATACTGGTGAATACTCACCATGTTTTACACAATTAGTAACAAATTCGGATCTTCTTAAATATTCATTTCTCAGTAGGATGGTTTTACTTATGTATCTTGCTACTTAAACAAGATGAACAAATACAAATCTGTACTCTTTGTTACTGATCCTTTGTCTTTGTATCTTCCTTTCACTCAGGTCTATAAAGAGTATAGAGAAAAATATAGAAGCTTTTAATAGAAACTTATGCCTACAACAGGTGGAAGGTTTGATAAAGCATATTTCTTCTGAGTAGAAAATAATTCTAGGCAGATGGAAGAGTGAGGACAGAGACCCAATGGGAGGAGGGTACTTGGCATGTTTACAGAGTAACAAAGAAACCAGTGTGGCTAGAGGCAAGAAAAAAGAGGCAGGTGGGAGAGGGGAGAAGGGGATGGATATATACAAACACAAGGAGTGAGATGTGCAACGTTTGGGGGATGGTCACACTTGAAGCTCTGACTCGAGGGGGAAGGGGGGCATGGGCAATATTCGTAGCCTTAACATTTGTACCCCCATAATATGCTGAAATAATAATAAGTAAATAAATAAATAAAAAGTTAAAAAAAATAAATAAAAGTGGGGAGCTAAACAAAACAAAACAAAACAAAAAACAAACAAAAAAGAGGCAATAGAGACAGGAAATGATGCCAGACAGGTCATAAGGGCCTGATCAGTTGGGTCCTTCTTGTTTGCCATTGCAGGGATTGTGCCTATTACCCTAGAAGAAATGGAAAACCCTTGCGTGAGTTTGAGCAGAAGAGTGGAAGGAGTACAAGAGTAAATTTATTTTGTAAAAATTCAGTTTGGCCACTGTGTGGAAAATGGAAGTAGAGAGGCAGAGGCAGAACAGGAAGACCAGTGAGAAGCTAGTCTGCAGAAACCCAATGGGAGGTGGTGGTGGCTTTACCTGTTGTGAAAGCAATGAAGGTGATGAGGAAGGGATAGGATTCTTATATACTTTAAAGATAAATCCAAAAATATCTAGAATGTATGAGGTTGTGAGAAAAAGAGATGGCCCAAGGATGGGGCTATCTAAGTTCTATGACCTTGTTGCAGAACACTCACATTTTCAAAGATGGCAGTAAAATGCAAATCTGTTTGAGAGCAAGAAAACAGATACCAAGAGAATCAAGAGTCCCAGCAATGCTGGGCAGGTATCCCCAGTTAGATAAAGGTGTCGCTTTTTTATTTTTTCAGCAATAAACTTAACTTTACCACTTCTCTTTAGGGCAGATAAATTTAAATCATCCCATGCCTTTGGGAACAAATTTACCTACACTTAACTTCCCTTATCTTTTCCAACAGGTATACTTGTTTTCTGATTTTTCTCATGGAATAGCTTTTCAGCTGAGGGTGGGGCAGCTCAGAAAGGCCCAGGTGATGCTTATTAACTAGCAAGTGTGTGCACATTATTAACATTCCTGCACTGTTTGTGAATTTTTACCTAACAATAATTCAGTCTGAGCAAGTGCATTGTGTTCTAATTATACACTATTTGATGACTGCAAAGCTACAGGCCAGCTCAAGTCCTCAGATGACCCAGATTGGAATTAGGCTTTTCTACCATCACAGTATATTGCACTACAGCCTGAGTGACTGAAGTAGTAGAATTCCCATCAACTCAGGTGCTGAAGGCTGCAGGTGGAATAGTTTTTTGTGTGTGTTGTAGAAGGAGGGATTGTGAAGAGATAAAGATTTCAGCTTTGGACATGTCATGTCAACTTTAGTAGACATCTTGGTGGAGATATCCAACAGTCAGTTCTGACTTATGTCTTTACATACAAATCTGGAATTCAAAAGAGCTTTATGGAATACAGATGTAGCTTTGAAAAACTATGGCATAGAGATGGTATTTTCAGCTGTAAGACTGGATGAAATAACCAAGGAAATGAAAACGGACAGATGAGACCACAGAATTGAACCTCGGAGCACTCAAATGCAAAAATGTCCTGAAGAGGAGTAACCAAACAAAGAAGACTCATCAATAAACAGCAAAGATCACTGTTGGAAAGATTAAGATGACATATATAAATGTGCTTTGTAAACTGCAAAATGCTATATAAATGTAAGTTACTGTTGTCTTTAGTGGTTAAATTAAACTCACTTATAGCATTCCTCACTGCAAAGACACACATGTATGCGCACACATATGCAATGTGATCCCTGTCTACTTGTCTAGGATTATCTCCAGCTATATGCCTCCACATTCCCTAGCATCTGGTCAAACTGTACTGCCTTGCATTCCTTGAAAATGCCTCTCAATGGCTTTCCTTTGTTTCTTGACTCAAATTCTTCTTGCTGTCTAAAATGGCTTTATCCTTCCCTACTCTCTTAGCAAAAAGCTTAATTGTGCTGATTCTCTATGGCCCAACTTCTCCAATCCTTTTGTCACAGCATTAAAATTAAAATTAGCCCATTAGAGTATTTTTCTGCAATGTTTTATAGCCTTCAGTATACCTTGTACTATACTTGTTAATGTACATGTTTTATCTCTCCTATTGGATAGTTAAATTCCTTACAGACAGAAATGATGTCTTAATGAATCTCTGTATTCTTTACAACATCTAATTTAATGCTCAATATGGCATATGGGCTCAATAAATTATTTAATAATTCAAAATAATTCAATAAATCAGTTGGCAAATAAGGTAATAAATATTTATTTTGAGCAAAGCCTCATTTATCTTGCAAAGAAAAGTTTTTATCTAATATTTCTTATATAGTATTTTGTCTCTAATCATAATTGATTTTATATTTTTGCCAAATATATTTAATTTTTGCTATTGTGTTTTCTAAAGTGAAGGTGGAAGTCTCTGTGTTGACTGTGCCCCTCAGGAGACCTTATTGGCAGAGGTGTATCCATAGCCATCATGACCTCCACAATGAAGGTTTCTGAACTGAAGATTTCTGTAGATAATAATGCCTGAAGATATTCTTAGCTTTCTGCCTGAATATGATGAAGCTTTTAGATAGGGTTTTGAGCTTGGATCTGGGAAGCTAGGAGATTTGGAAACAAAGAATAGGCAAATATTGAAAGGGGGACGCAGATACTAGAAGTCAACATCACAACCATACAGGCAACAAATGCACACTGTACAGAAAGAAGAGGCTCTGGGAGTGAAGCCAGTACTTCCTCAGATACAATTTCTCTGATAGTTTGCCTGATAAAGCAGGATCCAATGACAGCCTTCCTAGAGAGTAGCCATTCCTAAGATGAAAGTCTAGAAGGCTACTTGAAACTCCTGGAAAGTAATGACAGACATTTGTCAGTGGTTGAAATCTGTACCCAGAAGGAAGTACTTGTTAGTTCTGGGGTTTTGTGGCTGAGAGTAGGAATAATCTAGGCTTCTCTTTAATATAAGATTAAGAAAGAAACAAACCCTGTTCAATGATAGTTGATAGATTGCTATATATTTTTAACATTTTTTATTTTTCAGTTACACAGCCCTTAGTAATATATGATCTTCCATTTTTCAGTATATTTCATCCTTATTATCAGTGCATATAACAAGCAGATATATAGATATTTTCATATCTTGTCAAATCCCAAGAATATACGGTACTGAACAATCTCAAAAAGGATTTTCCAGATGTGAACAAATAGATATACATATTGTTTTTAAGGTATTTTTATGAATTTTTAGTTAATCTCGAGCCATTTCATTATTTCCAATTTTTATCTTTTATCTTAGGGTACATGCAACTAGCTGAAACTTTCTGTAAGTTTTATAAACTTCTGCAATTTTAATGTGCTATATACCTAAGAATCTAGTCCAAAATGTAAAAGCCTGCTGAAAAACTAGCACTGACCTAAAATAGATGAGTATTTGATGTAAGACAATGAAAAAATTCACTTTATTGATTGCTTTAAATCTATAAGAGTAAATAAGCAGTTAGTCTGCCCTTATCCCTTTTCTTCTTTTCTTCTGAATTTTTCCCTCCCTCCTTCCCCTCTCTTCCATCTTCACCCCTTTCTTTCTACCTCTCTTCCCCTCTTCCTTCCTTCCTCCCTTCTTCCTTCCTTCCTATTTGTACTTGATTTCCTTGTTATAATTATATATTTCTCTGACATAGAAGAAAACTCATAATGCTCAGTTACTAAAAAGTAGACCTAGACAAAGTAATATTATCACTGAAATCAAATGATAATCTACATTAATGTTTTTCATTAATAGAAGTACTCTCTTCATGAAAGAGAATATCTCATATACTATCTTAAAATCTACTAATATATCTTTTATTTTACTAGTCATAAATATATATATCAAAAACCTATCATTCACAGAACATAAAACATATAGTAAGGTAACACGTTTCTTTATATCTAATTCTCTATCTCTATAGATCTATTTTTTATATACAGAGTGAGAAAGAGATTAAGATTTGAGATTTGATTTAAAGTATTTACTTCCTGGTGCATCTTCTACTTCCAGATAGAATGTAGAGAAATGGAAAACATTTTTACTACCATGGTAACATCCTAAACAAATAAATAAATCACAATATTCTGTGTGGTTAGGGAAGCATGGTGGATGCTAAAATGGCTTGAAGAACCAAATTCCGGACAACAGCAGGCACTTAATAGGTGAGTCATAAGAATAGCATCTTCTATACATTGGGTGAAGAAGTGCTTGCTCTGGATATGGATTGCCATGGATAGACTTTGGAGGGATAAGAATAAATAGGCAGTACGCTAGGGAAACCACAGGGTAGACAGATTTTATGTGGCTCTGAAAGAAATCCATGTGCTAAAACAAAGTGGTTGGCCCATAAATTCTTCCCTCTTAAATTTTTCAAAGAAAGCAGCAATGGAAGTGGGACTAAAAATTAAAAGAAATTATGTTGTATTCTCAGCACCTTAGATTCTGTGGCTTTTCTAGATGATTCCAAAGATAAATCAAATATCTGAAACTGTAGCACAATGTTGTTGTACTTGCAACACCGTAAGATCAAGAAGGCAGTGGTAATACTGATAGTAGCTGGTACACTTAGTCATGGGTGAATTCAATCTCATTAGTATGCCTGCCATTAGCAGATCAACTCAACCTAGATAGATGCTGAAAGAGTATTCCCTCATCTTAATCCCAGGCAGAGGAAAGAGCTTATCTATATGAAAAGAACTAAATAAAATAAAAAATTTTAATAGAATATTCATTTGTCTATTACATTATGTTCCATATACAATATAATATTATGAGACATATGAAAAAGCAAAAGGATGTGAGCATATCCAAGGAAAAAATACAGTCAATTGAAGCAGACTCCCAAATGACCCAGGTAATAGAACACATATAGACTTTAACCATTATAACCATGCTTTTCAAATCAAAGAGAAAATGTATATAATGAATTGAGACATAGATTTTTAAAAAAAGAAAGATAAACTGTAAAGAAAAATTAAAAAAAATATTTACTAGATAGACTGAAAAGAATAGATCCTTTAGAAGAATCTATAAATTTGAAGGCAAGTCAACAGAAATTATCCAAGCAGAGCAAAGAAAAAATATTGTTAAAAGAAGAATGTTAGTGATCTATGAGATGATAATAACCACTTCAGCCTGCAAGTACTTGGAGTCCAAGAGGAGAGGATATATAGAATGGAAGTGGGAGAACAAGCAAAGAAATAATGACTTTTGATAGTTTCCAATTTGATGAAAAATCGACACAGATATAAGAAGGTTAACAAAGTACAAGTAGGATGAATAAAAAGAAAATCATACTTAGTAATATAATAGTCAAAGTGATGAAAACCAATGGTTAATAGAAATCTTAAAAGTAAACAAAATGATACATTTCATTTAGAAAAATGATTAAAAAATTACAGCTGTCATTCTATCAGAAATAATACAAGCCAGATGACAATGAAACTGCATCTTTAAAGTATTGAAGGAAGCAAAAAGAATACCTGTTAACCCAAAATTCTATATCTGGCAAAAATAAATCCTTAAAAAATAAATTCATTCACAAAGACATTTTAGATAAATAAAAGTTTAAAAATTTGATGCTATCAAACATGAATTACAAAAAAACTCCTAAGAAAGTTCGTTAAGAAGAACTGATGCCAGATGGAAATTAGAATCTACAGAAAATATAGTAACTATATGAGTAAATATAAAAGACTTTCAATTTGTTTAAAAGATAACTGATTATTTAGAGCAAATTATAACAAAGTGTCATGGAGTTCATAATATAAAAATAAATGACAGCTGAGTAGTACTCCATGGTATACACATGCCACATTTTATTAATCCACTCATGACTTGATAGGCACTTGGGTTGATTCCTCGTCTTTGTGATTATGAATTGTGCTGCAATAAACATACAGGTGTCTTTTTGATAAAATGACTATTTTTCCTTTGGGCAAATACCCAGTAGTGGGATTGCTGTATCAAACAGTAGGTCTACTTTTAAATCTTTGAGATATCACCATACTATTTTCCATAGACGTTGTACTAGTTTGCAATCCCATCGACAGTGTATAATTGTTCCTTTCTCTCTGCATCTACGCCAGCATCTATTGTTTTGGGACTTTTTAATAAAACCCATTCTAACTGAGGTTATAACTTTGTCTCAAGCAGTGTAAGAGCAATCCACGTAACCAAAACATTTGTGCCCTGAAATATTCTGAAATTAAAAAATAAAACATAAATGATTGCAATAGCACAAAATACAAGGAAAGGGGTTCTAGTATATGTGATTTGTTAAAATATTAACTTAAGGTATATTGAGTGATAAATTAAGAATTCACATTGTAATTTCTATATCAATCACCAAACAAATAAAGGGGTTCAGATAAAAAGTTAATAGAAGATATAAAATGGAAGGCTTAAATATACTCAGTTATTTAAGGAATGTAGAAAAAAACAAACAGAAGATTAGATAGGGCAAACAGAATACAATAAAAGAAAATAGGCCTCAATATAATCTTATTAATAATCATATTTAATGTAGGTGAACTAAGTAATTCAAAGATGAAATTAAAAAACAAGATTAAAAGGCTAGGTAAATTATATGGTTTGTATGAGATGTATTTCAAATATAAAGATATAGGTTAAAAATAAAAAGATGGGGCCGGGCGCAGTGGCTCATGCCTGTAATCCTAGCACTCAGAGAGGTCTAGGCGGGCGGATCGCTCAAGGTCAGGAGTTCCAAACCAGCCTGAGCAAAAGCGAGACCCCCATCTCTACTAAAAATAGAAACAAATTAATTGGCCAACCAAAAATATATAGAAAAAATTAGCCGGACATGGTGGCACATTCCTGTAATCCCAGCTACTCTGGAGGCTGAGGCAGAAGGATTGCTTGAGCCCAGGAGTTTGAGATTGCTGTGGTGAGCTAGCCAGGGCAGCAGAGTGAGACTATGTCTCAAAAAAAAAAAAAAAAGAAGATGGAAACACATGTGCTGTGCAAGCCCTAACTATAAGACAGCTGATATGACTCTGATGATATTAGAAAAATAGGCTTGATGACAAAGAGTTTTATGAGAGATAGAAGTAATAGTAAAATGATCAACTCATCAGGGAGACATAACAACTGAAAATGTATGCACCTAATAAATGGTCATCAAAATATTTCAGGGAGAAGTAAATGCATCCACAATTATGGTTGGGGAATTTATTACTACTTTATCAATAACTGATAGAACAAGTAGACAAAAAAACCAATATGCCTATATAAAATTTGAATAAACTTATCAATCTAGTGGATATATATATTTATATATATATTTTAAAACTATGATCACAGTAGAATTAACTTAGAAATAAACACCAAAAAAATCTTTAAATAAAAATACCTTCAGATATTTGAAAATTAAAAACACCCTCCTAAAACATATTTGTCAAAAAAGAAGAGATTATAAGGTCACTTAGGAAGTATTTTAACTAAATGATAATGAAAGTATATAATATCAAAATTTGTGAGATGCAGCTAAAGCTGTGCTTAAAGAGAAACTGATAGCTATAAAATCAATATGTTATAAAGAGAAGGGCAACTAAAGCCCAGGAATATATGCATATATACAGTGAGATGATTTTTAAAAACCTAACAAAACCAAGAGTTGCTTTTAAGTAAATAACAATAGCATTGCAAAACACTTAGGGAAACTGGTCCAGGAAAATAAAGGAACACAAACTAGGAACATAATGAATGAAAGAGGAAAGACCAATAAAAAATCTTTCAGATGTAGAAATAACATACATAAATTTAAAAATTGAATTAATAATTTAAAACCTTCATAAAAGAAAGTATAGGCCTATAGTCTTCATTGCTGAATTTTCAAATATTTAAGGAGTAAATAATTCCAGTCTTTTAATAGATTTTTCAGATAATAGAGGAGTTTAGAACAATGCCTGATTCATTTTATGAGCTCTATATAATCCTGATAACAAAACTTAACAAGGACATTGTAAGAAAAAAATATGTGGAAACTAATAAGACTCCTAGGTTTAGACACATAATTCTTTGATAAAATGTTACCAAATAGATCCAGCAATACAGAAAAAATTTCAATTGGTAAGGTTTATTTCCATTATTCAAGGGAGGCTAAGCATTCAAAAATCATTCAATATAATTCATTAAAGGAAAAAAATCATATAATCATCTCAATTAATGGAGGAAAATTATTTTACAGAATTCTATGCCTAGTTGTGATTTAAAAATATATCTCACAAACCAAGAATAATGGAATTTTCTTGATCTGATAAAGGATTTATATCCAGAATATATTCAGAAATCAATAATACATAAACAGCTCAATAAAAAAATGGGTAAATATTTGAAAAAGAAACTCACTAAAGAAGCCATCTCAATGGTCAATTAGCACACAAAAAGGTGTTCAACATTTGAGTCATTTGAATAATGAAAATTAAAACCACAATGAGATACAATTTCTCAAGCCCTAGAAGGGCTAAGAAACCCCAAAATGCCAGATATTGGTAAGAATATGGAGCTAATGAAACTCTCATACATGCATTGTTTGTAGGAATGTGGAAAAGTTCAATTATTAGGAAAAACAGTTTGAAAGTTTTTTATAGTTACAAATTAACTCTAGGAGACAGAAATTCCCTTCTATATTATTTACACAAGAGAAATATAGAAATTCATAGCAACTCTTTGTCCATAGGAATCAAAAATTGAAAACAAGCTAAATATCCATCATTACAGGAACTGATAAACAAATGTGGAAAACTATCCATCAATAAAAAGAAACAGATAATAAACTCAACAACCTGGATGAATCTTTCCGACCCAGAGAGGCCAAATACAATTCATGTATGCTGAAGTTCAGTAACAGGCAAAACTAATCTATGATGATTAAAGTGTGATTAAAGTCAGAAGATGAGTTTTCTGGGCTGTGTAGATATTGGAAATTGACTGAAAAAAAAAAGCACAGTAGGAACTGTTGGGGACTAAGGAAGTGTTCTATAGTGGGTGTTTTTCATCCTTATGCACTAGATTACCCCCTCACTATCACCGCTATGTCCTGAAGATGATCGTGATTTAACCTTCGTTGTTGACTCAGTCTTAAACCTACTTTTAAACACACAAAACCACATGAAGAAACTTTATATCGGCTTGTTTCTCTTCCAAAGTAAGAGAGTAAAAGTAAGATTTTAAATTATCTTTAGTTTTTAGTTTAGGAAACTGCTATTACTTCATTAATTATACTGTTTCGAAGCCTCATAGAATTATAATTCTCAGTATGGTTTTTGAAAATAAATTTAAATATTAAAAATAAATAAATAAAAGTTATTTGCTGGTGTCATCATATGGTAGCAATTGAATCAACTATTATTGCAAAGATAACAAAAAATCAATTTCCAAGAATCAAGTTGCAGCTCTCATGAGTTATCTTAATTAACTTATCCCTGCTCTTTCTCATGGCTTCTCTTTCATGTAGAAATATCAACTAACATTATTCGCAAGGGGCAAATTTAGTCTCCTTTCCTACCTACAAATCAGCCAGCAGAGGGCTCAAAGCGTGAATTTCCAAGTCCTCATAAAATAGTTAAGAGCACCTCTGTTAGTCGGCTTTGTTAAACATGTAATTTGCCTCTTAAATCTGCACAGGCTGTGTAGCTGATTATTCTTATTAGTTGTTAAACCTAACCACCACTTACATTCATTCAAACAGTTCTCTTTTCACTTGTCACATATATCCAATTATTCACAGGCATTTGTTAGTCCCCGAGTGGACAATTCCTAGAATTTTAGAATTGAAAGCGACCTCTGAGGTCTTTCTTCTGAGATCTTTTACTTCAAACCTCTTACCTACAAGGAGGCTCTTTCAACAGTGCCCCTGACAGATGACTGGGTAGGCTCTGCTTGTAAAAGGGAGATAAATAGATATCATTTGTGAAGAAAAGCATTGTACTTATACATAGTTCAATCATCTGGTACAAAATCTCTCTTCCTATAAATTCTATTTGTTGATCCCAGTAATTCCCTCTAAACCTACATGTGGTAATTTCCATTCCTATTCTAGTAGACAATAATTCATATATTTAGAGTCTTTTCTTGACATTTCTTCAGAACTTGGTGTCAGGCTCAGTAAACAATATAATTTCCTTTTCAGATATATCCGCAGGCAATTAGTTCTCTTTTTATTTAGATTTATTTCTTAATGTACTAGTTAACCATGATAATCCCATCATTCTGGGAATTTGGATTTTTCAAGCCTAATCCTCCAAATATTTACAATTTGGAGGTATAAGGAGTTTCCAAGTCAAGAATAGCTTTGTGATCTAACCCAATGCCTCTCAAACTTTAATGTTCATTGAATTAATCTGGGAATCTTATTAAAATACAGTATGTGATTCAATAGTTCTGAGGCAGGGACTCATTTGTAACAAGATTCCATGTTGCTGGTCCATGGATCACATTTTGTTTAACAGGATCTAAATAGAGTTTCTCATACAGATTTCATTAGGTTTCAAAAATATACTATATTTTCTACACTATTGTATGTTATATATTGATATAATTAAGACAAACCATTAACATTACCACACATGTATAAACCAGTGATGCCATTTAATGGAACAACCTCAGATTTGTAGGAAAAAATAGAGACTAGCATATTAGGTCTCTATTGCTATCAGTCATTATCTGACATATAGATTCTTTCAGCTAGAAAAAATTCTCTCAAATTATCCTGGTTTAATTAAAGGCCAATAATTGCTCAAAACTTGTGCTGTAATTAAAACCATCATAACTTCTTCTGACCTGATATCTGTTAATTAAGAGACTGATTTTCATAGGCTGACTTTCTCTCCTCCCTGGTGGCCATCTCTCACTATTGTCATCAAAAAGACTTCTCCATATTTTCATGAGAGTGAAAATGAATTTCTTCTCCAGGGGATTAGGCACACATGCTGAACAAATTTTCTCTTGTGCCACAGCATGAATTTCCACAATGAGTTTATTTAAACATGGAAGAAGTAATTTTCTCTTCTTAAGAAAGGAATCATCCATTTCTTAGCAGTTGTCATCTCGTGGCTGGCTTACAAAGAGTATTCTCTCTCTCTCACTTTGGATATATTCATTTTATTTAGTTTTCTACTAATAGGTGTCTATGAACTATAATAGAGATTTTAATAACAACAAAACTATAATAGAGCTTTTAATAATAAAAACAAAGCAATAATAACAGCTACTAAAGCCATTTATTGTGTGCCCACCTCATGCAAAGTATTGGTATCAATCATGATTACAGAATCTGAAAAAGAAAGTATAACTGGATTCATTATATGGATAAAGAAAAAGAAGTTCATAGATGTGAAGTAGCTTGACTGGGGATCACGTGAGTAGTCAATAGTTAAGTTGGACTTAAACCAGATGATTTTACCATCAAGATCGCAATGCAACCCTGCCTGTGTTTGGAAGGAGTTTCATATTATTGCATAAAAGGTTTTCTGTTGAAGAAAGGAATTATAATAATCTTCAAAATACAGGGATTCCATCATACTAGGTCCAGAGTACATATAAAAGACAAAACGATCTTTTAAAATGTGGAGTATCCTCTGGGCATAAATATAAGCCTTCTTAGGCTCAGAGATCATTAAAAAGAATTTATGTCAAACACAATACTTTTAAAAATGCAAAACAATTACTTCAGCTTTTAAGCTATTTAAAGCTCACATATTAACTAAGAGGCAAAGAGTATACAACCAATTTAATGAATCCATAATACAGACATTAGCAGAACTAACAGCTCCTGTGTTTAGTTTAACATTCAGCTGGTTGAGCTTTGTGGCTTGTTTTCTAAAATGTGATGTTCCTTAATTTCAATTCCTTACAATTTGCACTTATTATTTGGGAAAACTTTTTGTAAAACCCAGAAAATTACACCATTTATCACTAGTATGCCTCTAATTTCTGTAGAAAAATAACCTCACCTCATTTCTACAACTCCAGCCCAACTGAGTCTGTGACTTCTCCACTGTTAAAGTAACAAATGAAGGTGAGACAAAAGGAGAAGTGATTAAAAGAAGCAGACTGGCCTTTTTCAGATAAGGCAATAGTGCAGTAAAGGAAGAAATCTGATTAGATCTATGAAAATGATATGAGAAAAGGCAAGATGTCATACATGTAGGGAGAAAAATTGGAAGATATCAGGGAATTTAAATGAAAATATATTCATTATACAATATAGCCAAAAGTGACTAAGTTGTGGTGTATATTTTAATGAGCTGGAAGTGCTAGTGACCTAGTTTTCATTCTACTGTTCAAGGCACTGGTCTACCATTAATGTCTATGTTAGTAAAATTAACTTCACTGAGTAGTTGCATAATGGTCTCAAAAAGACACTTCAGGTCATAAATGTGGTTTGTGAACCTTGAGAATTTTCAAAGTATTTAATAAGTGCTATGTTTTTCAGTAATTTTAGAAATATACTTAATGTCAAGTGGCTTATATGATAGTTCCCAAGTCATTTGCAAATTTTGTACAATGCATGTGTTAAAGGAAAATGTAAGAGAAATATTTAACATAATTATTATTGGTGAATTTATGTAGTTCCTTTCCTTTAGTTTGCTGTCTTTCTTTTTCTGAACTCAAGTTCTTTGTAAAGACTGAGGACATAATAACAACAGAATATCCTTCCTTGACAACATGCATGTGTTCTTAAACATGCTATTCATCTAAACATGACATATATTGTATCCCATATGTAATGAATGACAGAAGAGTATATTATGTATGATTTTTATTCTATATCTCTGCATATATTTATTGAGAGCAAAGTTTTCTTCATCTTAATTGTCTAAAAATAATTTGCATTCATATTTACCTTGCAAAAAATCTACAAGATTGCTAAAGAAAAATTTACAATAAACTGCAATACTATATGGCATGCAGGCAGCATGAAGTTCAACTGAGATGTTAAGTCAAACCTTGACTGAACCAACATAGGATTCATGATTCCTTTTCAACTTTCAAAGTCTACCTAAAGTAACACAGATTCTCATAATTTCCTCATCAACTTCTTCTTTTTGAAACCCATCATCTGTCAGTGACCTGTGGAATTCATCATTGAAGTAAAAGATAAGGTTATGTCACCAATAACAGTCCACTGAAAAAGTTTAGCTTTTAGGAGAGACTTAGTGACTGACTTCTGTAATAGAGTGAGCAATGTTGGATAACTTTTAGGCACAAGAATTCCTAAATAATTTATACAGGATTGGTTTGTCCTTCAAATCCTAAGGGTTAATGTTGTCAGCTAGCTAAATTTGGTTCAGAAATATGCATGGTCATCTTCCAACAGCAATATAAGCATACAAAGAACTGGTTCAAACAATTTTTATAACAAGAATTGCATGACTTAGCATCCCTCATGGAAAAAATTAATCTAATAAAGAGTAAGCATGATTCCTTTTTCAGGAAGAAGGTAAATTTTGGTATAAAATGAGAGGTGACTTTTATTGACACAGAAATATGGACCGATAACCAGGGAAAAATCTGCATTGCAACACTGAAACTGTATTAAAGTAGACATACAGGCAAAATGTAATCACTCTTCATAATTAAAATTTGAAATGTTTTGTTTTTTGCTAAAGAATAGAGCTTATAAATATGTCTTAATAATACTCTAGGAAGTAGTCTTTCTTTTATTTGGGGAACAAATAAGTATGAGTGAAAAGAAAAATCTTCGTACTTTCTTTAAACACATAGTTTATCTGGATTTATTACCTAGTTGTGGATAAGGGGAATAGTTACAGACTATTTCAGTCCAACATATTTGTAGTCTTTAAACTCCTGGCCTCAAGCATTCCTCTGGCCTTGGCCTCCCAAAGTGCTAAGATTACAGGCGTGAGTCATCACACCCAGCCCTGTTTGTGTTAGTCTTCACTCACAAAATATGATAATTTTAATTTAACAGAAATTCAAAGTCAGTAGTAAAAAAAAATCTCCAAAGTATAAACACATCTTAAAACAAATCATTTTTCTGAAATGAAAGCAATTGTGGTAGAAAGGACATAATATAGAAATACATATTCACAATTTTCAAGGAGTCACAATAGATCAATGTTCTCAAATTGCAGTATGTGACCCATTAATATGGCATGAAATTGATCTAATAAGATCTGACCAGTTATTTATTTTTTAATGGTAAAGTGTAGAATAAAGACTAGAATATAACAAAGGGCATTAAACAGAACAAAGTAAGAATCATTTGATAAAATCTCCATTTCATATTATAAACTTACAAATATATATATGTATACACACATATCGGTGTGTTTGTGTATACTAGATACTAATATAAAATACATATATTTCTTTTTATGGGCCCTGGTCAAAAAAGTTTAAAATATCTCAAATACATGAGTTGATCATTACACACTCTACGCACATAACAAATACATGTACCCCATAAATATATAAAATACTTTGTATCAATAAAATATATATAAATATATAAATCTGTTTAATTAATATCAAACCCCAGTCTTTATTATCAAACTAAAATCATATACTGTGTTTTCTTTCTGAAAACTGACTTACTGTCAAACTCATTACCTCTTCAGGAAGATCCCATTGCTTGTATAACCACTGCAGAATTGTCACATGATCTAGAAAGAAAACCTTAGGTACTCATATTATATAAACATTTTGGTTTCCAAGCATAGTTTCCAATTTACTCTAGTTTCCTCATGCTTTCTTTTTCATATTTTCATTATATTAGGGCTTGTATAATTTAAAAGTCTGTCTGATATAATAGCATTTCAGAATCATTTTACATATATTTTTGTATCTTAGTTTGAGTTGGTCAAATGTCCTCAAATCTTCCTTGATACATTGAGCAGCAATTAATTTTAGACAGGAAGGATAGATTTATAGCCTCCACTTGAAAAAGTGATATGCTATAAGGTCCAGAGAAACACTGATAATAAGATGGCCGCATATATTAAGTGAAGGGCTGAAGGTATTTGTTTTTGGAGGGTATTGGTTTAAAAAAAGGAAAATAAAAGCAATCCCAATAAGCTTTTTGAGACTTTGAGTACTGGAAAAAAAATAAATGAGTAAGTAAATAAATCAGTAAGTTAATATAGCAGGAAAAATGAGTGTAAGATGGGAATAAAACGCCTTAAACACTACTCCAGAAATAGTCCTTTGGGGAAAAAAAATTAAAACATATTTAGGTTTCGTACTTATAAGCCATTCAAAGGAGACATCTGGCCTCCTTACCAAGACTTCTGTTCCTGCCCTCTGTAGCAGAAATCATTCTTTTTCCTGCTGGCCTGGAATTGTAATCAGACCACCTTTACTTTTATAGACCCCAAGAGAGTACTAACAACTTTTGATTGCTGATAGCCTGGGAAGAATTCAAACCACTAATCCATTGTCTGTAAGTATTTTATTCTCATACCAATGCCATAAACAATCTAATTCTCTAAAAGCTGACACATAATGCCTAGTATGAAGAAAAGAACTTATGTTTAGTAGCAACCTGAGGAAAAATAAGTACATAAAATCGACAAGGAAGCATCAGTGTGGTTCATTGGAGATCTGGGACTGCATATCTGGATATAATATTGGATAAATTGAGAAAATTAGGGCAATCATGGATCAAAAGTTATAACACAGCATTTCTGTGCATCACAGAGACCCTTCAGGGAAACCCAGGCTCTGTAGTGCGTTCATTTATCAAAGGGATAATGACCCGAAAACATTCTTCTGGAGACAATGTGGAAACTATTTCCTTTTTAAAAGAAAGGCACCTGTGGAACTAATTAGGATGAAGTACTTCTTTCAAAGTATGGGCTATAATCCTGTTGAGTGAATAAAAGATTTACAAGACTGTAGTTCAGAATGATGGGGAACTCAAATGACAGTTGATGGTGGCCTGTGGTATGAAAACAAGGAGATTTGGAGAGATTTAGACTGATATTCACTGAAGTAGTCGTGAGAAAAAATAGTCACTGTACCCGAGAATAATTTAAATAATGAAAGTCTTTCCAGCCCCAAATCCAATTAACAAGTACCCCAAAGTGGATAAATCTCCCCTAAAATTGCATATCTTATTATAGATTCAGGAAAAACTTCTGAAAAGATGAGTTCCTCTAGGGAGTAAGCAAGGGGCTTATGGTAAGAGGGTACATTTTTATTTTATCATGTTTAATTTTGTACTCTTTGCTTTTTTTAGCATATGCATATATTATTTTTCTAATTTAAAAATAGTATTTGCAAGGAAAGATTTTGCTCATTATGTTAAGGAACATAAGATATTTATTTTCTTCCTCATCCAAGATGTAGAAGATTTGTGGATACTGCTCAACTTTATGTGTATAAGTAAAAGCATGTGTAAAGAAATGATATCGGACAGTTGTTATTTCATTGTCAGTTAAACAATGATGCATGGATTTAACAGCACAACCCAACAACCAAGGCTTATCCTACTCATGCATAATAGAGAATGGAAATATAGTAGAATCATAGAATTATAACCTGAAAAAAATAAAACCTATAAAAAATAACCTAAAGAGTTAGTGGAATATAATTTATATGCATTTTTCTTTTATTATTACTCTTGGGATAAAGTTCCAGATTTTATTTAAAATTAATTTGTTTATCAATATAGCATAATTTATATCTCCCCATGACAAAGCCTTAAATAAATTCCTACATACTTTGTTGGAGTTATAAGTCTTCTGAAATATACATTTGGTTCTATTTCTGTCTTTACATTACCTCTGAGGCTTTAATTCATCTTTGACAATAAAAACTTTGAAGATTCATCAATTATCTTCTTATAGCTAAGTAGCTGATATTCTTTATCATATATTGACCTATCAATACCATATCAAATTTTTTGTTATGAAAACCCTCCCTCTTGCAACACTTTTCCCCTCTGGCTTCTGTGACACCACTCCCTCTTGTTCTTTCTCCTAACTCTGGGGCCTTCTTTGTCTCCCAGCTCCTCAAATGTTGGGGCTCTTTAGCTTTCTCTTCTGGGCCCTTTTCCTTTTCATCCTACAGTCTCTTTCTGGATTATATCATGAACTCTATGGCTTCATTTGTCATCTACTTACTAAAAATTCCAAATCTATATATCTAAGCCAAATCTTTTTTTTAAACTATTTTTCTTACCATCTAGTACATGTTTTCTATTTGAATGTCCCACATATACTTCAAACTAAACATATCTCAAAATCACTTCAAGAGTTTTCTTCAAATCTGATCCTCTCCTTATACTCCTGTTTTTCAAGGAATGGAACTGGTAGCCACATAGTTGCCCAAACAGCAATTACAGTGCTTCTTGAGTCCTTTTCTCCATCCATTATATCCAATCAAATACTAAAATGTGCCAATTCTATGACATCTTTTCTTTGTCATCATTGCCACATCCTTATCTCTTACACAAATAACTGCATAGCCTTCGTTTGTTTTGTTTTATTTTGTTTTCTATGATGCTTCTCTGGAAACCATTCTCCACACAGCAGTTAGAGTAATTAACAGACAAACACACACACACACACACGCGCACACACACGCACACACACACACACGTGCGTAATCTTGGTACTTTCCTACTTAAAATTAAATAAAGGCTACCTATTGCTTTCAGGACAAGGCAATATCTTTATTATTACTTAGCATACTATTATGTCTTAACACCTTATTCCACTCACCTACAAGTAAACACAATAATTCTGTCACTCAGAGCATCATTCTTTTACTCAATTATGGCATGTTCCTATCCATGCTTCAGAATTTTCCATATTTATTTTCTCTAAAACATTCACCTTTGACCTCTTAGATGCCTGGCTTCTATACATCATTTAGATTTCAGCTAAGATATTGCTTTCACTGGGGATGCTTCTCTGACTTCCATCCTCCACTCAAGTCTTGATTTACTGTCACTCATCTACATTTCCATAACAAATAATATTTTATTGAACTTACCTTGTTTTACAACTTTATCTTCATTTGTCTCTAAGCTTTATGAGGGCAAATATTGCACATATTTTCTCTACTATTTTATTTCTACCTTCTAATATAGTGACTAGCACAGATTTGGAGTTCAACAAATATTTTTACTTACATATATAAACAAAAGAATCATCATCAAGCCTATGGAAGTTTTATTCTCAAAAATATTTAGTCAATCTCTTTTAGATATGTTTTAGAATGTAAGATAATATTAGAATATGCTTGCTATCTTCTGATAAACTTTTCACTCAATGGACACTGTCAGAATCATCAAAAATCTACAAGACAATTATTCAAGAACTGTTTTATCCCAGTGAATATGCTCATAAGTACACATCTTGGAGTTTATGTGCTGCTTTGAAAAGACAGAATAGTGCTTGGAATGAAACATTATCTTGAAAAAGCTCAAAGTTCTTTACTAAGTTGTGCCAGGGAAGCCCCACATCCAAGTGACAGATTCATTTGCAGTACATTCTTTTTTGCTATCTTTGTAGAACATTGTTAAGTGCTATGCTAATAGACAAAAGTAGAAAATCAGAACATATGTTGTGAAATTAGCTGGAAGCTATAAAAGCAACATTTTTTTCTGGATGAAAAGTTCTGGTTCAAAGATATAGTTTTCTGACTTTTTAGTGTGCGAGAAAAATATCCAATAATGTGGTCCTGAAATTGAACAAAATTAAGCAGGTCATATGCTTATCTAAGTTGTGTAAAGGCAGGGTATTGAAAGAGCTAGATAAAATGCTGTAGTAAATACTGACTTTTCTTCAGTATAATCTACTAGGCCACCTACTGTGAATTAAGAGTTGAAGACCTATCAGCTGGACATGGTGGGTTAGGCAAGTTAGAGGAAATACTCAGAATTCTACAGACAACTCATATCAGCTACAATTATTTAGATAAAAGTATGTATTCTGAAGTTACTGAGAACTGAAAGGACAATAGACATATGTCTAATATAGGTGTTGCACCTACAGCAACATCATCTTTAAATATAAAAGACAACTGTATATAAATAATACCAGAATTGGGAGATATGACATGGGATGGAAAAAAGGGAAATTATATGCAAGTCTCTAAACAGAAGTCCTGATCCAGCAAAATACCTAATAGTATGCCACTGATACCAGGTTAAAATAAGCAAGACAAAACAAAACCAGAAGGTTCTTCCGTAAAGAAAATATAAAAAGAAAGCTCAACACCTGACATTTACTGTCCCCTAATATAAAGGCTGGCGTCTTTCCTGTTCACCATTAAGACACTAAGGTCTTGTCTGTCCACATCCACAGAGCTTCTAGGAAAATTTTACGTGACTCATTTTCAACCATAAAAGTGAACAAATGATTAGTACATATTTGAGGAAATTAAGCAATGGGAATGAGGAAGGTGAAGCTAAGGAAGCCCAAACTGAGCAAACAGAAAAGTCAACTTTAAAAGAGAAAATAAAAAAAGAATAGAACAAGACATTTTAAAAATCTCTCAATATATTTAGAGAAGATCTGCAAAGAGTTTGCATGCATAAAGCAAGAAGAGAATTCAATAAAAATAGAGCCATAAAAGATTAAGAGCTTATAAAAGGGAAACAAAAATTTTAAAATAAAAGAAGGCATTAAAGCGTACAAAAAGTAGTGATTCACACCTAATTGGTGCGGTGTGCACCATCTAGGGGATGGACAAGCTTGAAGCTCTGACGTGGGTGGGGCAAAGGAAATATATGTAGCCTAAACATTTGTACAATTGTAATATGCTGAAATTAAAAATAAATAAAGAAAAAGTAGTAATAAACCAATTTAATACGGGAAAAATTCAAACAAAAGAAATCAAAGTCAATATTAAAAAATATTTCATAAAGAAAACAAATATATTAAAAAGATAGAACAAGTAAGAGAAAACATTTAATGTAGGAGGTCAAACAAGGAGTTTCCAGTAACTGATTAACCATAGGATAAAGGGGAAAAATTAGGGGAAAATTACCAAAGAACTATTAGAAGACAATTTCTCCATTTGAGGGATTTAGCTTTTCAGTTGAAAAAGTCCATCAAGTTTTCAGCAAATCTAGAAACACCTTGGTAATAATTAACAGCATCAAGCTCAAAGATAAGACCACATTCATTTTAAAAATGAAATAAATAGGTCACCAATGAAGAAACAGGAATCAAACTAGATTATAGTACTATTGAATGTATAAAAACAAATGTAGCAAAATCTTCAAAATGATGGACTACAAAAAAAAGATTTCTATGTAAAATGAAACTATCAATTGAGTATGAGGGCTGAATAAAGGTATTTCTAGATAGGTGAAGAATCAGAAAGTTTATCACTTCTGCTTCCTTTTTCATTAAGTTAATCTCCCCACCTACATATAATTAAATCAGTGTCCTCAGTTCCTCAACTGATACTTTGCAATTTTAAACAACATAGCTAAACCTTCATTTCAAATTTCATGAAGCACAGACAGTATGCACTGACTCTTCATTGGTAGAAAAAGAAGGGAGATTAATGTTCCCACCCTCTTTCCTCACCTTTTCTTACTCTACCAAAGCTTTGAAGCCTTAAGATACACTTTTATATTAACATAGATTAGTTCCAAACTTCCAAACCTAATAAATATTATTATTACAATGATGACAAATACAGTTTGTTGCAACCTTGAATCATATACTAGGCTTATATTCCATCCCCTATTTATCCAATAGCCCCTATGCTTTCAAAAGGAAAATACTTTTACTGTCAATTTCGAATAAATTCTCCTTTTTAGTCCCTCTATCAAATGCCTTTACAACATTTTCAATTTTGTATAAGCTGCAAAATCATATGTATAATATATAAAGATATGTTATAGATTCTCCATATAAGATTTCCTACAGTCTTCCATCTAAAGCCCTTTAAGTCAGCAGTACAGCTGTTATAGTGGAATAGCATGCCACTGTGTTCATGTATTTATTTTTCTTGGTACAGTCTCCTTTTTACATTGGTGCATCTTCAATTAATTTCCTAAGAAAGCAAAATCGTAGAAGGAAAAATCAGGTGCAAGGAGCAAAGGGAAGGTTGATGGTACAAATGAACTAAATCCTTTACTTTTATAGCAGCAAGTCAATATATAACAAAAAATTGATTTTTTAAAAAGTGTCAACAGCATGTTAAAATATGCATCAGAAGAGCTAAAAACAGAAGCAGAAGTTAAGAGGAGGGAAGAGATTGATGACAAAAACACTTGCTTTTCAACATAGCTTGCAATCATTAGTACTGTTTATCAAATATTCCCACTTCTCTGCCTTGTGAGAACATGGCAGGACTATACTTCCTGGCCCTGCTTAAGATTGCATGGACCTGTGCAACTAGTCACTGCCAATGACTGGAGTGAAAGTGACATATGTCACATTCAGATGGAGAGTTTAAGAGCCAATGCATAATACACCACCCTCTCTATCTGAAGAATAAGGAGTTGCATCTGGCTCCTCCTACAACCATGAGAGAGGCACAACACAGGGTGGGTCTCTTTGGATTTTGGAGGCAACATATTCCTCATTAGGATGTGTTACTCTGTGCATTTACTGATTGACCCAAAAAGATTCTAGTTTTGAGTGGGGCCCAAACCAAGAGAGGCCATGCAAAAGTTCCAGGCAGCTGTGCCGGCTGCTCTGCCACAGGAACCATATTATTCAGCAGATCTAATGGTGCTTAAAGTGTCAGTGGCAGACGAGGATGCTGCTTGGAGCCTTTGATAGCACCTGATAGACAAATCTCAGCAGAGGCCCTTAGGATTTTGGATCAAAGTCCCACCATCCTCTGCAGATTACGGTCTTTTTGAAGAAAAGCTCTTGGTCTGCTACCAGACATCAGTAGAAACTGAACACTTACCCATGAGCCACCAAAGTATCACGTGATCTAAGCTGCCCATCATAAACTGGATGTTATCTGAGCCAGTAAGCCATAAATTTTGGCCTGCACATCAACAATCCATCATCAAATGGAAGTTGTGTATATGTGATCAGTCTAAATAGGCCCTGAAGATACAAATAAGTTTCATAAAGAAGTTTCCCAAATGCCCATGCCCCACACTCCTGCTATATTGCCTTTTCTCTCTCCCGACCTGCACCTATGACCTCATGGGGAGTTCTCCACAGTCAGAAAATAGAGGAAAAAAAGGCTTAGGTATGATTTAAGATGGTCTGCCTAATATGAAGGCACCACCCAACAGTAAACAATTGCAGTACCATACCCCCTCTCTGGGACATCCTTGAAGCACAGTGGTGAACATAAATCCTCTTCACAGTGTCCTTCACAAATAAAATTCAAGAGTTTATTTACTTTTTCTCCCTAGATATTTATGAGTGATTAATTCTCAGTGAACAAAGGTTATAAAAATGTAAGCTGAGAGGAAGTCAAAGAAAACTCAAAGTCACAATTAAAATAGAATTAAATTGTCATTATTAGAGAATATTAACCATCTCAGGAACTGACTGTGATTAAACTATAGCAGAAACCTGAGAGTTGTCCCTGATCACCTCTCAGAAGAACTCAGTAATTGGTAATATGTCAGCTGGACCAGTTGTCAGCTTCCCATCCTCACAGATACCAGGAGAGGCAGACAGAGATTAGGAAAAGGGAATTCAGTCATGTTTCCTAAGGCTCCCACTCCACTCAAAAAGTACAACTCAGTAGGAAACTTGGTTTATACTCTGTAAGTTCATGGGTGGATCACTCTCTCATACCTCTTAGCCACAGTGTCTTGTTTTGTAAAAATTTTTAAACCTAGGCTTCTCTCTTCTTTTACCACGACTCTGAAAATTAGTTAATCTGTCTCAGATCATGAGCATTTACCTGATAACAATGAATGTATTCTCAATTCTGTAAAAACTCAACTGTGCATGCACTTGACTGTGTTTAAGTTGCATGCTCTATTTCAAATTAAAAAAAAACACACTAAAATGCTATGATGGTCTAATTGTCTGTTTTTCCTACTTATTTTGACAACAGAAAACCAAAGGCTTGCAATGGTTATGGAATAAGCTATATTGAAATGTAAGTAAGTATTAAAAATGTACGAAACCATTAGTGAAAGTGAGTCTTGTCTGTCATCACCAAAAGTAAGTGACTCAACATCTGTGGTCACTGCTTACACTGGTTTGACCAGTTTTACTCTGGTTTTACTCTAGTTTTGGTGTCTTATAATCTGGACATCCTATTGACTTGCATTGTTTTCTTTTTATTTCATATATTACTAATTCACAAAGAACCCTCTTCAGTTTTGCCACTGATGTCTGAATGTGGTAGGGAATCAGACGGGTGTTTGGCAGAGGTACAGCATGCACACTGTTCAATAAGCGAGTTCTGTTCTGTTGCTGTGTCACAGAGCAACACTTATTGAGCCATGGAAAAAGTGATGTATTTAATGCAGGATATTTTTCACAACACCAAAAATTGCCCATGTACATTAACAAACTTCCTTGAACAAGCATTCATTTCTCTATTAGGAACACTAAATTTCATAATTGATAGTATTTCCACTATGCTTTGGTATGAAGAACATTAGCATCAAATTTACAGTCTTTTTTCCACTCACTGCCCAGTGTCTTCTAATTTGTATCCTTATGAACTAAGGTTCCCTGCAGTACCTGTTTTTAAGTACTCTTATTTTCCTTTACTCCATTTTTTAAAAACCTATCCCTTATTATCATGTTAAATTGTAAGTATTTTTGAAAGAGGAACTCTCAGTGTATCCCGTATTTGGGGAGAGTGGTATTATTCTCTATAAGTTATTAGTATTTTTTCCCTTCAGTTTTTGTAAATAACATGTAAGTTGCCTACTAATAAATGTAGTGATAGTTTAACAAATTGAATTATTTATTAATCAATTAAAAGCATAAATCAAGGCATTATGCTGAATTTTGTAGTGGGCGTTGAGTTCCACCAGAGTAGGTGAGCAGTGGGGGCAGGAAATACGGGCAATGGTTTAGAACTTAAGAAGCCAATTTGGATTTGAGTCCTGTCTCTGTTATTTCCTGTTGGTGTGACCCTGGGTAATTATCGTTTTAGCTTTAATTTCCCTCATCTCTAAAACAGGAGTAATATAGTACCTGCTTCTTTGTGTCTTTTAGAGATTTAAATTGAGATAAAGAAATGAGAGAACTTAGAACAAAATATGTTTTCCAACCATTTTAGTTGATTCTTATTATGATAATTTCTACCCTAAAGAGTTTAAGATTTAGAGAGCAATAATTCATGTGTACAATATTAGAGTTCAAGGGCATATGTAATAAATGCCATGAAAGTGGCATAAGCAAAGTACTACAGGGGGAATGGTGACAGAGAGAGAAATGATCAAAGCCAGAGAGCCAGCTGTGGGGCCAGCTTGAAGAAAAGTCTCTAATGATTTAAGCGAAGGGCCACTTAATGAGTTTTGAGAATACATGGTAAAGGTACATTAAGAGTCAGACAGAAGGGCGAATTATATAAAACATACTCCACCATTTCAAGGTAAAAATGAAAAAGCTATGAAGAAGAAACTAATAATGAGAACACTTTTGCAAAAAAAAAAAAAAATCTGTGAAAGGTAATATGCTCTTTATGGTATCACCAGTTTGGATACGAAGCTACATTATGGCTCTTTTACAAGAGCTAGCATTCACTGTAGAACTAATGTGTGCCAGAAGTCTGTTAGACACATAACAGTCCTACAAGGTAAGAATTAGCCCCATTTACAGGAGATGGGGCTTAATAAACTTAAATATTTTGCAATTGGTGTGTAGAGACACTTTCTGGCTTCAAAGTCCAAGTCCACAGCCTCCCTACACCATGATTATCCCTGCCTCTATTCATAATTGTATTTTAAGGGGTCTTTTTGATGATTGGGTCAAAAATTTGGTTTAGTCCTTTTCATGGAAAATGGGCCCCTCATACAGGATTTCAAAATAAATCTTTGAAAGAGCCATCGGTGAATTTGAATAAATAAAACTTCATTTTCACAGCTTTGTTTTCCAGTAGAACCAGGTGACCCTAAATCCAGCCATGTCTCAGAGAAAGGCTGGTTGCCCCCACAGTTGTAGAGCAATAAATAACTCAATATTTTCTGTGTTCGTTTAGTGATTACAAATCATGACAGTGTTAATTGCCATAAAGTCTCTGTTAAACTGGACACACATCTCTGCAGCATTCTGAAGATTATAAAGTCCTTTAATTGGTGGGAAAAACATGAAGAAAACAATCTATAAGCAAGGCAGGTAATAACCTTCCAATGCTTGCTTTTCTATATTTTCTAATGCAGATTTAATTTAACTATAACAGTTTCATGAGGCTTGTGCAATGATGACCAAGCTGTAATCAGAATTGGAAATAACTTCAGGTTGCTCTAAATATTAAGTCTGATAATTGTCATATGCTATAAAAAATAATGGTATGATTGCCAAAAGAGCATTTCCAAATAATCAACTACAGTAAAACAGACAATAGAGGGCATTTTGCATTAATGAGTTTATAATCTATGGAAAAAGTAACCAGACTTGCCAAAAGACCATATAGGATTCATTAGTGCTGTTTGCCATATGTTTTTGGCTCTCCATCTTCTGGACAGTAGTTTTATACTTTCTGATCCTCTGTTTGCCATATTGGACCATATGACTCATTCTAGTCAATGAATCAAGAATAGAGATGTGAGGTGAGTCACTTCCAGGACAGAGCATTTCTTCCTTAGTGTAAGACCCTCAGAGTTCTCTTTCCCTCTATCACACTGCCTGGCACACTACCTTTGAAAAGGTAGTTGCTCTATCAGCTTTGGTTCTGGAATGAGTGGATAGAGAGCAGAACTCTCAGACATGTAGTATCAGGGAAAATAAAACTTTGTAGCTGTGAATTAGTAAGATTTTGTGATTGTGACTGTGGCATAACATATACCAGCCCTGCATAACAGACATAAAATGTGAGCCACATATGTAATTTTAAGTTTCCTAATGGCCACATTTAAAAATTCAAAAAGAAATAGGTGAAATTAAACACCAGTTACATTTTAAGCACTCAGTAGTCATAGGTGGCTGTTGACTAGTATCAGACACAGCAGACTTTGCTTACTATGGTATAATCACTTACAACATATAGTATGTGATTAATCACTAAGACCCTTTATGAAGCATATATACACATAGTAAGACAAATGGCTTAGAAATATGAGGAAGTTGGTAAATTATGGTTTGCTTTAAGATGGCAATGGGTTATCCCACTGGATATAACCTCTAGAAAGCGAGAAAACACAGAACAAAGAAAGCATGGAACATTAGGAATATAAAAGTAGTTTCAATTATCCTTCACTTTTTCAGCCCCTGAAAATATAAGTGTAGAAGGTTCAGGTATAGCTTTAAATATCCACATCTGGGCTTCCAGAGGCCAAATAATATAAATAGTTTTTTTTAAAGTTTAAAGACATATCTCAAAGACATGGCATCAAATATTTACCATTCTCCAGGGACTTGCAGCTAAGAAAAAAATACGAGAAATAAAGAAAGAGTTTTAAAGATATCTAATCAAGAGTGAAAGACAAAAACAGAGTAAAAACCTTGGGTTTTTAATAAGAAATGATTATTACTGACATTTGGAAGTATAGCTTTGGTGAATTCATGAGTTAAGGGACCAAATTAAAGGAAATCTAGTGAAGAGGAAATTGAAGCAATGAGTGAAAGAAATACTAAGAGTTGAAATGCACTTCCATAAAATAGAACTCCATTTTAGCTGAAGAGCACAGAGAAATTTAGTAAGAGAAAACAGCCATTTGTGTGTCTGCGTAAAGCTAATAATGAAATGCAGGTTTTTACAAGATGAGTGGCATGAGGGCAAAAAAGAGCAGAGGACTTAGACAAGGATCAAATACCCTCACTAGAGGCTTAAAGGAATAAAATGTAAGGTAGAGAGTTAGATTGGCTGCCAATCAAACATGAAATCTTTGATCTGTTGAGAATTACACATTTAAATAATTGGTTACCTTAACTTTGAATGAACAAAAGCATAGGATTTATATGTAGTTGGAAGTTTAGCTGGAATAAAGGAAATGAGAATTTGAGTGACTAATAATGTGATTTCTATAAAATGCGTAGATGTTTTTTTCATACAGGTAAAATGAATAGATTTTTTAGGAAAAATAAAAATGAAGTCCATCACATGTATCAGAAATAGTTTTACAAAAGGAAAAATAAATAGAAAGAAGATTTTTTCCCTTAAATTTGAATACCATAAAGGCATATTGTGCTTTTGAACATCCTAGAGAATAAGAGGTGCTATGACATTCCAAAAAAAGTTTTTGCAATGTCTACCATAGTGCCATGTTATTTTGCTTACCCACTGGATTTCTAAGTTTATGCCAAACTTAAAAGTTCTTGAAAAATCAAGGTCTCCAAGTGCTATACCTTTATTTATTCTCACCTATCTTTCCACATAAATCTTGGCATCAAGATATTTAGAAAATAATCACAGCAATGAAAAATGAGAATAAAATCATTCTCTACATTTGTATACTTAAACATAAAATTTATGGAATGCATCTTGGTCTAAATAAAAATAATTGTCGGCCAGTTACAGTGGCTCACACCTATATTTCTGGAACTCTGAGAGGCCAAGGCAGGAGGATTACTTGAGGCCAAGAGTTTGAGACCAGCCTGAGCAAGAGCAAGACCCCCATCTCTACAAAAGAAAGAAAGAAAGTAAGAAAGATTGATTAGCTGGGTGTAGTGCAGTGCACCTGTAGACCCAGGTACTAGGAAGGCTGAGGCAGGAGGATCTCTTGATCCTAGGAGTTTCAGGTTGCAGTGAGCTATGATCATACCACTGCACTCCAGCCAGGGTGACAGAGTTAGACACAGTCTAAATAAATAAATAAAAATAAGTGTCACAATAGATTGCCACACAATTTTTCTAATAGGGTAATAATATATACTAAAAGTGAAGAGTACTACCAAAAGCAACAGCAAGAATTTTGGAGGAAAAAAATAGATTTTAAAGGGTTCAAAAAAACTGTAGAAATGGAAGGTTATGGCAATTAAAGCAAAGCCCAGGACAATACAAAATACTTAAAGAAACTTGAATTTTTTTAAAGAAGAGCATCAAACAATGAAAAGAATTTCAACCTAAACCAAAGAACAATTTAAATATAATTATAAACTAAGCAACTGACAAAAGAAAAGTGATGAAATATAAAGAAATAGTCAAGTCTATGAAGTGATTATTTAGACTCTATTTTCAGAAGTAAAGCAAAAGAACAAGCATTTGCTTAGCATCAAATCAGATTTATGAGTAGAAAGTTGAGAAATTAAAGAACCAGCAGATAACACCTTAAATTACAATGAACTCAATGATGTTTTCTCTATTGATAGAAGACCAACACCAGCAGCTCTCAATAATAAGTGCTAAATTAAGTAAAGATGACGGAAATTCTTAATACATTCAGATGGTTAAATATCTGGAAGTAATCCAAGTAAGCTCACCTCAGAAAATTACCCTCACAAATATGTGTGAGTTTAACATCTACTACTATGCAGCAGAAACTACTTCTCCCGTAGGTAAGTCCAACTTTTTTTCCATTCACCCTATCATTATTTTCTCTTTAATATCAGGGATGACAACAAATTCAACTCATCAGTGTCCTTTATTCCTCTCCTTCATTCACCCAGCAGGAATTATAATACCTACCTTACAGAGTTATAGTGAGAGAAAGTGGTGTATCTTGGCACTTACCAAGTGCTAACTAAGTTAATTTCATTGTTAAGATCTGGGTCCAATTTCTGCTCTGTCATTAGAAGCTCTGTGACTCAGTTTCCGATGCCATAGAACCTACTTTATAGTATTACTGTGAGGATTAAGTAAATTAAAATATGTAAAGTGTTTAGGATAGTGTCAAACAAATAATAAATGCTACAAAATTATTACCATCATTATTATTGCCAGGCTCAGAGTTCCTAACTGACCCCGGAGGTTCTGGAAATAGCAATGTCTTAATGGGTAAGAGGTCATATTTTCTGTGGGAGCAGACATAAGTAGGAAAATCAGAAAAGGGGCTCAGAATTCAGGATTTGAAAAATTAGAGAAAGCCAAGGGACCAAAGGACCAGATCATAAAAGTACAATGTTGATTCTAGGCTTTACTTCCCTCTTTTAGAATCACTGCCTCATTTGGGTATTTAATATTTATAGGAGCATATTGACTATAAAAAGGAGAACTGGTGCAATTTGTAGGAATGAAAAGCTAGTCCTCCCAGGGAAGTCTTACACACTCCTTCATATAACACAGTCATATATTGGACTGTGACAGCACAAGGCATGGTTCAAGTTTGTCATGGTGTGCTTGGTGCTTCTGTTCTCTGACTATACTGCAGAGCCAGCCAGTCATGGGTTCTCATCCTGGCTCTGTCATTTACTAGCTTTGTGACTTACATAGGGTGTCTGATCCTTCACTTATGAAATACCTATTTCTCAGAGTTTCTGTGAGGTTAGGGATATTATATGTATGGTGTCTGCCACGCTCTTAGCAAGTGGTTATTAAATACTAGCTACACCGTCTTCTTATCTGAATTCTTCCTTACTTCTCACACCATTAGAATGTGTTTATTCTCAGTGCCTCTCTCTTTACATAGTGGAATAATTTTATTCTCTTCCGGAATAAATGATCATGATGCCTTAGAAGCTCCTTAGACTCTTGCACACATTGACTTCTATCATGTCTTCTTATACCTGGTCACTTCTAGTACCATCTCTCTATTTCTCCTCTCAGAGAAGAGAAGGATACTATCAACCAAAGTGGCCATATAAATGAAATAAATCCTAAGCCTCCTTTCAGCCTTTATATTCAACAATTCTGATATGTAAGTAGCTTTATAAAAATCATGTTTTAAATTCAAGTTGGCACTTCTTTCTATGTCTGGGTTACCTAAAACAATCACTTTTTTGTTTGTTTATTTCCTAGCAAACTCTACTCAGTTGCTGCTCCAAGGTTTATCTTTTATCAAGTTTTCAGTCTCAAACTTGATAATATGTTTCCTCCTGTTATACCTTCTCTAACTCACCCAAACATCCCAGATGATGTTGGCCCTTGAATTTCTGTAGTATTGTCACTGTTAAGAGCTTTGATCACAATACATTTTGATTTGTTGAATTCTAGTCCATTCAGCTATGTGGCCTTTGAAGACAAAAATTATCCCCTTTCATGTTCTCAACTCCAGAATTAAGTGCAGTACTTGTTTTCTAGGGTGGGCTTTAAAGATGTTAAGTGACTAAATAGATTGTCACTCCTTTTCCTTTAGGGAAATGACCAAGGCTATCAATCAATATGTTCCCACATATGCTCATTCTCGTCTCACCATAATTCTGGATATTTTATTAAAATATCTATTTCTATTGTATCAGTCTAAGTACAAACAGAACTCAGTGGCATATTATAAAGATCAAGCAGGACTTTTCCCTAGAAATGCAAGGAAATCTAAATATTAATAAATCTATTAATATAACTTATCATAATAACAGATCTAAAGTAAAAAATATTACTATCTTAAGATGAATAATTATTAAGTACAGAAATACTAAGATACATTTTATATGAATCAAAACCTACTCTTGATAATAATTATAATTCTTAATAACAAGGGATATAAAATTAGTTTATTAATAAAATTAAATATATTTATCCCAAACTGTAAACCCACAGCATACTTAATGAGTTTACACTGAAAACATTCCCATTACTGTCAAAAGTAAGATAATAATGCTTACTCTTACACATTTTTTTGTGCGTAGAGAGGTACTATCCAACAATATTAAGGAAAAAAATTACAAATTGGAAGGTATTGGGTGAACTTATCACCGGGTATTAATATAATTATTTTATCTAGAAACTGAAAGATAATCAGTGACTGAGTATAATATCAACATGCAGAAAGCAATGCACACAACAAACAGTTATACTGTATAATAAAAAAGAATACACAATTTAAACAGCAACAAAATATTCAATGTCTAAGAATAAATTAACAAGAAACGTGTTTATATGAAGAGAAAATTTTAAAGCCTGAAGGAGAAACAGGACAGCTAAAATAAATAGAAACAATGTTCTTGGCTAAAAAAAATACAAAATAATTGTTAGTATTCTTTAAGCTAACCTATCGAAGGAATGTGCTTTTAATAAAAATATCCAGCCAAATATGTTTACACTACATAGGCTAAATACCATATATTAATAAAACAAAAGAAATCAAGGTTACCTAATAAAAAATAAAGAGTAATGAAGGGGGACTATCTGTATTATTAATAGATATCAATATAAGGCTATAATAATTAAAAGGTAGTTGTCCTGGTGGAGAAGTAGACAATGAGAGTAACAGATATGAATACATTACAATATGAAAAATTAGCAAATGTTCATCAGCGTGAATTATAAGAATCACATTTTAAGTCAGTGAAGAAAATAGGTATCATATAATGAATGGTATTGGGATTATCTGGGTAACTATCTGAAAAGAAACTTGGATATAACCTCATAACTGATAACAAAATGAAATTCCACTGAATTAAGGATTTAAATGTAAAATAAATAAATAAAATTATTCAAATAAAAGAGTAATAGCTCATATTATACACACATATACACATATATACATGCATATACCTTATGATATAAAACTACTATATATAAAACTACAAATCTACATATAATTATAATTACAGTAAATGTGATTATATATGTGTGTCTACATATAAATATTTATAACTATATGTAACTTGGAAATAAATCATCACAAGACCTAGAGCCCACCAGAAAAATAATGAGCAAAGCAAATGAACTGTTTACCAAAAGAAAAAAAGTCAACAATGTATGGCTCTTAAGCTTAGAAAAACAAACTCTATCTTGTTTATATTAGCAGAAATGCAAATTAAAATGAAAATGAGACAATTTTTAACCTATCAATTTGACAAAAATAAATTTGTCTGGTAATACAATGTCATTTGCTATACAGGCAATTGAAGACCTAGCTGGTAGGAGTGTAAACAGTACAGCTTCTGGTGAGGGCAGCTTAATAAGAGTTTTCAAAATTAAAAATATATATATCTTTTGATCTAATTTCTCATTTTAAGTATTCATGTGTGCGAAAGGATGTTTAGATAAGGATATACATTGTAGTGCTATTTTTTAAATGCAGACAATTGAGCACAGCCTAATTGTTCATCAGTGTGGATAAAATTAAATAATATATAGCACATCTGTATACTGAAACTCTATGAAAGTTCAAAAAAATAAAGCAATGCTATATTCCTGATGTGGAGATGATAGATAATTTGCAAAAGCAAAATATAGAGCAGAAAAGTATGTATTATGCTGCTGCTTGCATAAAATATTTTAAACAATCATTTACATAGAAACATGTAGATGTTGAGAAATGCATAGACTATATATGGAAGGATAAAAAGAAAACTGATCACAGTGATAGTCCTCAGAATGGAGAAAAAGATAGCCAGATGACGGTAACATAAGGAGATTAACTTTTCACTGTATGCCCTGTTGTACTTTTGAATTTTGTACCATGTATATATTAGTTAATGAAAACAAACAAAAATCTATTTTAAGATTCTCCCTTCTCTCCAACACTTTTCTTCCTATCCCTTTTCTAAGAAGCAACTTCCTGTTGTTTCTCTTCCCTTCCTTCCTTCCTAGCAGCTCCAAATGTAGTCTCTCCTTTCTCTTCATTTAAATATCAAGGTCTTTGTTGGGAAGAAGTACAAAAATGAAAACAAATAAAATCCCTTCAATTATTCATATTATTTTCTGTCTGTTCTCTTAGTTTTTATTCCCCAATTAAGAAAATACTTTTTTAGGACAAACTTCATGCCATGCATTATGCTAGATTCCAGGGGTACAATAGTGAAAAGGGCCAAAGTTTGTGTTTTCATGGAGTTTGCAGTCTAATGAAAGAGAAAATTAATTGGGCACTAATGAAACAGTATGATAAGTTTTATAATACAGAAAGTACAATATAATAGGGGAACTTACAGAAGGGACACCTTAGTGACACTTTGAATGTCATAGTGATCTCCAGAGAAAGTAATTTTCAAGCTAAACAAGAAAGATGAAGAAGGAATGGGTCCTGAGAATGAGTTCCATTCGAGGAAAAAAAAAAAAAACCAATATGAACCTATACTTAGACAGGATAGAGAACCCACTGCCCTTTTTGAAAGAAGTTTAAAGTCACTGAAATGTCAACAAGGGCTTCTTAAAAGATTGATAAAAGGTAGATATTTGAAAATAGAAAGACTGGAAAGAGGTAGACCAATTAGGAGATAACAGCAGCAATTTCATGCAAAGATGACAATAGGGATTTTAAAAGAGGTGAAATTGAATAGATAAAAAATATTTTGAAGAGGTTAGATATAAGATTTAATAACTTATTTTGCAGATGAGAAAAAGGAAGTAGCTAAGAATTATTTATAATTTCTCTGTTAGAGCAACATAGTATGATGATATTATTCACTGAGATAAGGAACACAGAAGAGGAGAGGTAGAGAAAAAATCTTTGAATTAGGCATTCTATACATTGAATTTGGGTGTCTGAAAAATATCCCAGTGGAATCACTCCATAAGCATTTGAATATGCTGGTCTTCAGTTTATGGAGATTGACCTAAACTAGAGATATAGATGTGGAAGTCATAACTATAAAATGTGGAATTTAATCCATGGAAGTAGATGTGATTGCTCCAGGAAAGTACATGGAAGGAAAATCTTTATATAAATGTCATAAAGGGAACTACAATTTGTGGGGTGAAAGAGTATAAAATACCTGAAATAGAGAAAAGTGGAAAGAAAAACTATAAAATAAAGACAGTATGGTATCACAGAAAGCAAAAACAGAGAATATTTTAATAAGAAGTGAATAGTCTGTATGTGCCAAATATAGCTGAGGGATGATTAAGATAAGCACAAAAATATCAGCCTATTGTATTGGAAACAAGCAATTTCATCAATGAGTAATTGGTGCAGAATTCATACTGTATTTGGTTGAGGAGTAAAAATGGTGAGAAGCAGAAGACAGTGAGAAAAATTTTGTAAGAAGTTTTCTGAGGATGGAAAAATGAAAGACAATAGTAGTCATGAGTAAACTTCCATAATGAGTTGTCTGTGTTTGCCCTTATTTTTTTCCCATCTAAATCCTCCATAACTTTCCTATCCTATTTCTGCATTCCCTTCTCATTATGTCACTTACATACCACAAGAAACTCATAGTGGATAGACAGTGGACACAATAATTATAGAACAATGTGTATATATCCCTTTTGGAGCAGCATAATGCATGTTTAACTTCATTAATAGAAATTAATAGAAGGTGTTATGAGAACATGATTAATAAGGATAATTACATTAATAAATTTGTTAATCGCCTACTAATGAACAGAGTGGTAATGAATTAAGTACATAGATAGTGATGATAGAAATATAGATAGATAGATAGATAGACATGTAAATAGAATGAGTATTTTTAATCCTTAATATAGTTCTATAAAGTTGACAAGGTTAATCAATTTATATATGTCACATTTCTACCAAATTTTTGGAATGAGGTTTTCTTTTAATTTTTTTTTTATTTCAGGAAAATATGAGAGTACCAATATTTTGGTTACATTTTATATCTTTGCCTCTCCCTAGCAAGGATTAGAGGTATGCCCTTCCCCTCCACAATGCTCACCACATCCCTCAGTTGTGGGTCTACCCCACCAACCCCTAATCCTGGAGAACACCACCACCATTTGAGCACCATAGTGTTTATCAGTCAGTACCAATTTGATGGCGAGTACATGTGGGGCCCATTATTCTGATCTTGT